GATCATTACTTTAGGCCTAAAGGAGCAGATGTTACTGTTTCAGTGTAAGAGTTACACGCTGAAGATACCTCACAGTGCTAAGGACTTGTGGGGGAAACCTGGGTAAAGAACTGCACACCATTTGCTGAACAGAAGTGCTACATGGTAGTTCTTGTTACTAATTGGTCTAATGAAGTATTAGACAGCATTTGCTGTTTTAGCACTAATTCCTAGCATGTAGTTGTCTCTAGCAAATTAGATTTCACAGCCAGGTACAGCTAACTCTAAACTGCATTTCTGCTTTACTGCACAATGCACGACTGCATTTCTCTGCACACGCTTCAGTGCAGTTGTCTGCTCATAAGCAGAAGATAAGCAAGCTCCTTTCTTGTGTTCTTAGACTTATTCTTTGAAATAAAAGAGAATTATAATCTTTTTTATGCATCTAGGATACAGCTGCTGGAATTGCTATAAATGTGGATGACAAGCCCTTCTATCAAACTGGTATTTCATAGGCATATCTTTTAAATCATGAAATAACTGTCAAAAGCAGCAAAGCAAACAACAACATCAACATTGTCAGCAACAACCTAAAGAACTTGGGTTTTGACAACGATGAGGAATCAGAGGAAGTTACTTAAAATAAACAGCTCTGGCAATTCTGCTTTATTGCACTAAACTCTTTTTAATTGATTTCAGTCTTAAAACCCACAGTGTTCTGACAAAATGCTAAGTAAACTGCTGGAAGTCTACGTGGTCAAGTAACATCTATTTTACCATTTAAAAATGATGTAAGAACATCCCACACAGCTGTGGGCTCAGATGTATGAAATAAGACAGGTGGAGCTAAGGGTCAGTTAGGAAGCACGTGGGTATTGCTGTTTTGGCAGATCCCTCATTTATTGGTAGAGTACTTCATGCATGAGAAAAAGATAGTTTCATTTTTCAAATAGAATTAGTGTGAACCTTAATTTCTGTTTGCTTGAACTGTGACAGTACGCATTCTTCAGAGCCCACCAACAGCCCAGTTCTCCAGCTGTTGCTGTGAACACGTCAGCATAAACATAGAAAAAATCTGGCATGGGCGTTGGACCAGATGATCTTTCAGGTCCCTTCCGACCGCAACCATCCTATGATCGTCTGACTCATTCACAACAGGAGGACCTCAGACTTCGGACCATTTTGCACTGATAAAATTAATGTCACAAATAACTCTAAGGTGATATGTTGTTATTGCTTTTCCAAAATGGTTTTACAAGACCTGTAAGGGCAAATACATTCTAACGTAGGGTTATCAAATGTTATTATTGGGTTTTAACTCCCCCAGATTATTTTACTTGCTGGATTCCTGACAAACAGAAATTGAATTACTTTCACACTTCTTATTTAACTCTATAAAAACGGAACTGTATATTTTTCCTTAACGAAATCTTGGCCACACTCAGCAAGGTTTCTGAATCAAAACAAACATCGAAGTCGTTCCCCAAGCACTTCCATTTGCTTTCATTCCCTGCTGTGCTGGAAATGTGTTTTGTGCTCATTCTCAATCAAGTATCTCAACAGTCTATCAGGTAGCCCAGCATAATGCAAATATTAGAGTTACAGATCAGCCATTCCCTACTGCTGTTCACTTCCTGGTTTAGATCTCTTGTCACTTACAAATCAGGATGTTTATGCACTCAATTATAACACTTCCAGGTGAGGATAAAGAGCATTTCCATTACTCTCAACAGGACTTCAGGGAAAAAAAATAAAAAGTGTGTGAAGTGCTGTGATATTTTAAATTCTCTTAGATTCATACTTCTCCATACCTCACTGCAGCAGAACATTTTGCAGCGAGCTGATATTTATAAAAGTGTGAAGCATGCACACTAGATCGGAGGATTTTTCCAAGTCAGAGTAATTGCCACAAGATTGCCAAAAAGAACCTCTGGAATCATCACCAACACGGCAAACTGCCTCCTCCTGCTCAGCCAAAGGGCCTCGAGCAAAGACCATGCGGAAAATATCCTGCTACCAGCTCTGCCCAAAGATGCACATTCCACCTGTGCAAAGGATCATAAACCACCAAAACGCACTGCAGGTGAAAACCAGCACTTTCCACACTAACAGCACAAGTACTTCGAGCACCGGGCTGATCTTCAGCAAAGCACAGGTGATCCCATAACCAACCCATGTACTGCGTGCCGGGAAAGAGTCCGATGCTTTCCCCGCAGTAGGCAGCGCCAAGCCACAGCTCCCGCCTGCCTGCCTGCTTTCCCCTGAGGGCGCCGCCTGCAGCCCGCGGGCTGTGTGCTCACTGCGTGAACCCCAAGGCGCTGCAGCAGCTCCTGCTGGCATTCCCAGCACCGCCATCAGGTGTCTGAAAAGTGCTGTGTCTGCTCCTGGTCCACTGCACATTTTTGGGCGATGGAACAAGGGCACATTCTGGATTTTCAGCAGCTAAAATGAGAGTAATTAATCTTAATTCTCTCCATCCTCCTGAAAAACAGAACTTCTATTGCTTGAGGAAAGCAAAGAGCTGTAAGTTGTTCAGAGGCAAATTAATCTTAAGGGGGGAATCTTAAAAAAAAAAAAAAAAAAAAAAAAAAAAGAAAAAAAAAAAAAATAAATAAATTATAACAAGATTCTTTATTGCATTGGAGCCTTGAAACTTAAACCAGAACCAAAGGGGACTTTAGCAATGCAAGTTTGCTCTTGCTACACTTTGTTTTTAATACAATGCCATCATTTGAAAAAGTAAGATTTTCAGATATGAGCAGTTTTAGTTGTGTGGTTTCATCTCTGTGGAAAAAAAAACTTGTAATACTTAATGCAGACTGTAGGATTACAGGTATTTCAGGCAGCTTTAAGGAAGTTATTCTGAAAAGAACTTTTATAGGGAATTACATCCTTAATCCTGCTTGTAGTATTCTATATCTTAGATATCTTCATTCATTTGTACATTTCTAAATCAGTCTGTTCCATGTGAGAAACATGAAAATTTTGTCTCTTGTTTTTAAAAAGAAAAAAAAAAATCTAAAAAAAGAGAAAACCATTGAATTTAACCATGATGCCATGGAAACAGCTTTAAAATTGATTTGGCTGCAGGGAAGAAAGATATAACTCTAACATAAAGCAAGTGACAGCTTTCAGAAGAAAAAAGAAAATCTGTCTTCATTCAGCACTGAGTGCATTGAGAAACAATAAAGCTTAGTGAGGTGAGAGGGTCTTCTCAAAATACAGGGAAACAAGATCTCTCAAAAACACTCCATTCACAACCAGTCTGAGTGTGATGAGGGGAGGTGGCGCGGGGCAGACGAGTACCGACCTGCAGGAACAGGAAACTTGAAATGAAAACCACCTGAAAATCACCAGTAAAGACCACTTTCAGACAGGTTCTATCCTTGTACAGGGAGTGCAATACAGTGTGGAGAGATCATTTAGAGATCAGCACAGGAAATAACTATTCTAACTTCTAAGCAGTTCAACGTGTTAACGCAGCCCCTCAGACACGTACATCTGCCTGCAGTCTGCATGCCAGTTTTGCACAGACAGAACTGTGTCTCACTGCTACCAAAGAGGTCCACCAGAGCCAGGACAGCCACAGGCTCATTGCAGCGTAACGCATCGCAGCAGGCAGCACCGCTCTGCACATCGGGCTCCTTCCTGCGGGTCTGAGACAAATATTCTCTACACACTTGAACATACTTGAAGACTCTTGTTCCCATAAGTGCCATCCGTAAAAATAAGAGCTTCACACTGACACATGCTTCCAAGGGTGGAAGGAGAATTTGGCCCTTCCTTTTAGCTGTTCCTTCACTAGTGTTTTGGTCTGCGAGATAAACTTGGTTCATCTAATCTGTTTCTAATCTGGGACTCATTACAGAAGGAATTCTAGTGTAAAACGTATCTCAGTTCTTATTTCTTTGATAATTCACAAGTTAATCTGGTTACCAGAATTACTAGCTGTACATAAAAAGAAGGATATGTTCTAAGCTTCATCATTTCAGTGAGGACAGTCCCCAGAGCCACAGTGTTGTGAAAGTTCACAAGTAGCACAAAGCAATGACTGATGAGCCTGCATGTCTGTGTGCTGTACTGTAAACGCTCTGATTCCTTGCAGGACCTTTAGGAAGCTCACTGCATTCATTCTGCTTCCCAGCTGTCAGAATTCAGTGGATGTCTTCATTGGCTACTTTGACATTTTTACTTCTGTTCTGGTTTGTTTACTTGCCTTAAAACTTGCCAACCATGCGGACTGTAAAAAGGTCAACCAACAGTTCCCTATCCAGAGAGGACAAAATAACTGAAATCAACACATAGTAACTAATTCTGGCTATTTTTTGTCTGCGAACCATTAGCTGTGAATTGTAAAGCTACATATAAATAAATATATAAATATCATCATTCTGGGTAACAAATATTCATTTACACAGAGAGAGAGAGAGATGAACTCTATCTTTGTAACCTAAAATGTACATTTTAATGATGAGTGGAAGAGAAGCTGAGGCACTGAGTAGATCCTGGTTAGCAGTAACACAGTAAGCACTTTGCTGTAGGAGCTTTTGCAACTGAGTTTGTTAAAACCAATGCCAATAGGTATCAGTATTTTGAATTCTGCAAGTCCTGCTTTAAACATTTCCAATCCTGCATCCCATATGTTTCTACACATATTTCAGCCCCTGACTCCCCTGTGCTTGGCTCGAGGCTGAGAAGCACAGATTACTTGCTGCCCGTGGCAAGTGCTGCTCCACTGGGGAAATGATGTCACCCCCTGCAGTGCAATTCATAACTTGATGAGGGTAAATTCACTTACTGGCAATTTAGAAGAAAACATGTTGGTGCTATACCAGCTGAAGCCAGATGGTAAGTGAAATTATTAAAATGGTGCACACCACAGATCTCTGAAAAATTGCACTGCTAAAAAAATATCCTAAACATAGACGGGCTTTTAATATAAAGCAATCGGTGTATAGAGAGCATTTGCAAACAACGCATGGTACAATTGCTACTGTTCAATTGCAATCTTTCCTTTCTAGGTTCAACTGATCCACTACAACCACGAGTTGTACACAAATGTCACAGAAGCTGCAAAGAGTCCTAATGGGTTGGTGGTAGTTTCCATATTTATGAAAGTAAGTATTCAGTGTTGCCAGCATCTAATGTGTAGGTGGTGGACTTGTTCTTCACGAACTGTAAATGCAGAAACTGGACTCCTCATGATGGCACTGCAGTGCCTGGAGGCTCTGATCTGGAATCACAAGACAGCCTCATCCTAGGAACTGAACGTACAGTTCCTGAAAACATAATGGAAAAAAATGAAAAGGGATAAAGAGAGAAAATTAATGATATCATAAAAACCACTCATAAAAGTTTAGTGGCTATGACAAAAGTTATTGATTTCTTTGATTTGGTATTCTTGTATGAAACATGAGATGAATGAGTCAATTAGAAATGAACCTCTCCCAGCAAGTCGAGGCCCTGGGATGGAGGGAATGGGCACAACACAGATGCAGCTCCAGAAAGGGAATGCTTGTCCGAAAGTTTTGACACTGTAATTTTCTCTTCTTTAGGTATCTGAATCATCAAATCCATTTCTAAATCGTATGCTTAACAGAGACACTATAACAAGAATAACGTATAAAAGTAAGTTTCTTCTCATTCACGATAGCTGTATGCTGCTAGTAGCAAACGCTGTGCTTAGTGACTCACTGCATCGAGAGACGCCTTGCATTGAGAAACAGTTCACAAGCTTGTATTGCCAGCAAACCTGCACGATAAACTTGGGAACTTGAAAACATCTAATAAGGTCACAAGTTCATTAAATACTTTTGAGCTTCAAAACCTATTTTATGTTTGGACAAACAGTAAATTGATGAAAATATATTTAATAAATACATGTGATATATTTGCACAGAACACACAGGTAAAACTGCTTATTGTTAGCAGCAGAAGTAGCATATATTGCAGCCTGAATTACTCCAATTCAAATTACAACAAAATGCTGCATTGTTGCCTGTTTTTAACACGCAGCTGTGGATTCAGTATTCATTAACGCTTTCTTTTTGCACAGAAGAATGCGGTTTCTATTTAGCTATTACTGCATGTAATGGGTATATAAGGAGATCATCAACATAGCATGTACATTTGTTGTACCCGTGTTTGGAAAGCCTTCAACTGATAATGTTCAATACTTCCATGCTAGCATATTAAGTAAGTGGAAAACTGGAGCTTAAGCACCAGTTAAAATCAGGGTAATTCAGAGAAAGACATGAAAAATATACAGATTTCAATGGAATAAATTAAACCTCTATGCTGAAAACATTATTCCTTTGTCAAATAATCACTTGTATGCCAAGCAGCCATAAAGTAAGTACACTAAATGATACCAGATTATGAAAATATCATAGACCAGCATCTAGGAAGAGATATAGAGTTGTTTGTAACTGGAATGAGACTGGGTGTCAGGACTGCAGAGCTTAGTTCTCAGCTCTGTCAGACTTTGCCCAGTTTACATCTTTGTAAATGAAGTGCATCAAACTATATACCCTCCAACAACACATGATGCTCTGAAAGCTTCCCGTCTGCATCTCTAGAGAACTCAAAAATCCATTTAACTCCAACAAGTCACTGAACTTCAGGTTTACAATGGAAGTGTTTGGAGAGATTTCTGTACACATCCCTGAAGTTCACAGCCTGATTTCTTTGCACTCTACCTTTTCCCCTCCCAGCAGGTAGAACTACAATCCTACAGTGTTCACATCAAGAAAAAATAATACATTTGAGACCTACATGAGTTGCAAACACGGAATTTTACCCACTAATTCTTGAACAAGAGAGAAGCAGAAAGATTGAGTCTTGCCTATACAACAGAGAATTTGAACAACAGAGCCATTCCAACTGCATTCTGAACGCAGCAGTTCCATGTCCTTTACTATAAACACACACCTGCCAGTGGAGCACTAAGAAAGCTCTTTTCTCCCCACAAACACACACACCTAGCAGATCTCACACTCTGAGCAAGGGAAGGCTCCTGCCTAGTTTTTCCCATTACAGCATCTCTGTCCCATGCATTTACACGAGCATCACAGCTTTTCTTGTGTTCCTTGGCCACACGAGCTTTAATAGCTGACCAGTAGAGCAAAGGCTTGGCAAACTGCAGAGACTCAGAGCAGAGGAGAGACCACAGTTATGGATGTGATGCTCCACAGGGCTGAAAGGAACCAGCAGCACCTTTCCCTTGTTGCGTAAATGAGTGTACAGCCATCACTTCCATTGCAGAGCATTTTCCTTTGGCACTGCATTTTTAGCAGGTGCACCTTCACTCCGGACCTTTCATTGGTTGTTTTGGCACTCGAAGAGAGAACACAATTCCAATCACGCTTCATTTAGATTTTCCAAATGAAATTTCACATTGAGGTGAATGCATAGCAGATTGCAAAATCAATGAATAGTTGAATAGAACCGGAATAGTTTTAGTTTTTAGCCACTGTTATCCCTAACAGGTGCATCTGCTAAAATGAAATCCTTGGTGGACACGATGGACACAGCATTCTCAGTGCAATGGGTTGCTTGCTGTAGTAACAAGTATCGACCAGAAATTTTTTAGTGTAAACTGGGAGTGCGAGAGTGCTACTGAAAGTAATTTTGTGGTTGTCTTACATGATAGATTATAGCATCATTGCTGAAAACTAGTTTTACTTCTTACATTGCAGGGATTTCTATTCTGCCTTCAGCAACTGGAGGTTTTTAAGCTGTGTTTTACAAGCCCACTCCTGAAGGCAACACTCAGCGTGCTCCCACTGTGCCCAATAGGGGGATGGAGCAAACGAGAACAGGCTCAGAGTCAGCAGAGCTAACAGCATACCTACATTTGTGATTATTTTTTTTTTCTGAAGAAGAATAGCAAAAAAATGAAGGAGTTGTAAATCATGCTGCATGAAATGTCCACAGGCAACATGCATGAAAAGGGGAATTTCTACCCTCAGATATTAGTGGTTAAGTAAAGTGAAGTGGACCCCAACCTACTTTTAAGTAGATTTTAAGTACTTTTTAAGTATTAAGTATTAAGAAAGCACAAAGAATACTCTTTGAACTAGTTGAAACAAGGATTCTTTATTCAGAATCTGTGTGAATCTCTAAAATGGAACATGAAAGCATTTTTTCTTTAAGTACGATTCTAGGGGGATTTCTTTCAGAACAGCCATGCCCAGTGGTTGCTTATCATTGAAAAGCAGGAACATTTCAGCTTCCCTAAACTCCATTCTGAAATCTGGGGCTTGTCATTCTCCATAGAAACACCCAAGTATGCTCAGCTAGGCAGAAGAGCTGCAAAATTTTGCATTTTCTCACATTTAATCTTTCACTATAATAGAGATAGCAAGTGAATAGAATATCAGTTTTCACAGATGATTCTGAAAAGTTTTACATTTCGTATCTCTGGAGATAAGGCTCCTAATTTTCAAAGGGCCACATTTCTGTGGGCTGCCTGAAGAACTGAGCTCCTGCAGCTCCTGCCACGAGCAGAACAGCTCGGCCACCATGAGGCCCTGGGGACTGAGCGGGTTCTCTGCGTGAGTCACCGCTGCTCCCAGCTGCATCTGAGCAGCTCCTGAAGGCTGATAAACAGAGAAACTCCAGTGCTGAATTTAATAACTGCAGAGCTCGACATTCTATGCCCTGTATTCTATTTAGACCTGTACTGTCCCTTTTTGAGTCACCATGATGCAAACTTGGAAATCAAATAGGGCTTTTTAAAATTCAGTTGATGTATTCCCAATTAAGTACTATTTCCTTGAAAAGAACACATTTTTACTGTGAAAGCAGACCTCACACACCTGTTACAAATCTAAGGATGAAAGAGTGCTTCCATTATTTGTTAAGAAAATTGTCAGAGGCCTACATGTAAATGAATTTGAAATCTAAATAAATGTAATTTGTATAGACAAGAGTTCACGAGTTCAGAAATCACCCCAAGGCACACACAGAACAAGAAAAACAGTGTGAGCTGTGGAGAGGAATGATGCTGAGAGTCTAATAAAGGCTGCACAGGTCTACCAAAGAAGTATATTACTGGCAAGAGATCACACTGTTTTCAACCATTTTGATCACATGCCTGCAATAAATATCATCAAAAGAGACAACACATCTAAGTGCAGCCTAGTATTAATGCAATCCCCACACCCAGTTCTTTTTCAGTTCCAGTACAGATTATTTATTTTAAATCAAGATGTGGGAAGAGGGAAAGAACAGAGCTGTTCATGGGAAAAATGACAACCAAATGCCTACTCTGAGGTCTCCTCAAGGCATTCCCACTGAGCTGTCTGACTTCCACAGGAATATAGCCCACACACAGGCATGAATTAATAGTGCTTTTTCTTGGCCAAACGCTTATTTCATTCACACCCATCTTCCTTGTTTCCTGAAGTGATATTTTCTCCTCTAGTTTCTCTTTAATTACTACTGATGGATTTTGAATACACAAAATACACCAACTCTCCTTAAACACACTCCAAGCAAACACGGAAGCAACGAATCAAATTTGAAGCAACTCCATTGCTGGATGCTGATGAGGAAGATGGCTACACAAAGAGCACTGTATATTTTGCAGATCCTCAGTATGTAAACAAGGCAACCTAGCAGTTGAAGCAGAATTCAGTAAGGCTACAAGCAACACATCCCCTGCCTTTCAGAGCACCAGCACACATTGGACTTGCCTGGATGACTGGGAATTCCATGCCCCACATTGCATCCACACTGCTAGAAGCCACAGTACAGCACATCCACAGGCAAGTTAGCAGCTCACATCAAAATAACACATTCTCTATTAACGCCATGCAAGGCAACTCCAAAATCCCCGTGATTACCTGCATTAATGCCAGCAATAAATCAGTTTATGTATCTATTATAAATAACCCTATCGTTAATAATCTGTGTGCTTTTCTGAACACAAATTAGCCAACTGGAGTGTGGCACACACAAAAAATACACATCATCAGTATCCCTTCTCTGCATTAAACTTAAGTTAGTTTTCCATCTCCTAAAAAATAATTCAGGGCAAATTCAACCCTGTTAAAACCATTTTAGTCCCACTGAAGGCAATGTGAATGTAACAAAGCGGATTTGGTCCTTAGGGCTTGAAACTATCGATTTGGATGAACTTCTTGGCACTCGCAGCCAACATATACCACCCTCCATGGTTCGTAAATGAACAGGAGGTTCACGTGGGAATGGGAAAGAAGTGTGATGATTCACGGAAAGCAGGCACTGGCTTGAAAAAATGGATTCACTCTCTTCTCATGTAATTCTAGCAAAATTACTGCTGCACTGCAAATAATGTTTATAATGAACAGGACACAGGTGCATTCAGTCATCTCTAGCTGTTAAAATTCAACAGCATTTTGGCTTCATAATACCATAGCAATGGTTTTGCACTTTCAAGTGGAAAACTTGGGGGCTAAAAAACAGCTTGTAGATCCCAGGCCATGAGGCAGTGAAGGCTGAGCATTTTTACAAAGATAACAGTCACCTAAAACACCGAGAAGCACAGTCTCCTCTGAAGCTCCAGCTACTTGGAAAAGCAGTTACCCTGGGAAGACAAGAAGGTGGCAGAGAGCTGCATTGGTAACAACTATCAAAGGACGTGCCAAGATTTTTATTCCTCAAATAACAAATACATTTTTAGTACCAAACACCTGTAAGGTACTGGCCAACAGGATGCAGATCTGACACCCTCGTCTTGGCCTTTAGCTGATGCTATAGTCACCTGCACCCTGGGAGCAGCATGGTGAGCGCATATGTCAAAATACAAATAAAACAAATCACATTTGCTTTGCCTGGGTACTTCGATCTTTCTGTTGCCAGTACAGTAGTTCTCTTTTTTCCCCATTAGATAATATGGGGCAAACATTCTGATCACCTAAGTTTTGTCCTTCAGCTATATGTTAAATTGTAGTTAAATTACTCCTGTTTTTTAGATCTTACGCGCTTTCTTAATCATTCATATTTCTTTCTATGCTTTCATTTAAAAACTTCTTTTCCCAATGGCCAAGAAATTATCAGCTTTTTTTAATAATAAAAACAGTTTACATTTAAAACGTGGAAAACATCAGAGAATCAAGCAAGAACGCCTAAACAATTGGTATTGACTGAAAAGATGTACTTTCTACATGTTTCTTTGGACTGAACAGGAATCTTCTACTTTATTTTTACATCCTTGTATTCAATTCAAATCAATGCAAATTATTCTGTGTATTGAAAAGGGAACTGCCTAAATATGCAGCTTTCCTTGCCCACATTTTACTCACTCTACAAATGAACCATACTGAACACCACACACAAGTGAAGACATGCACAGAGATTTCACAGCATTGCTCCCTGCAACCAGCACAGCTTTCTCTGAGCACAAATCTATCAACAGTTAAATGCAATCCCTGCGTATTTCCTATGAAGGAACTCCTATTGCCTCGGCTCTGGCTTTGACAGTACTGCAAAAATATTAGAGGTCCAGCATGACAAAAGGGAAATGTACAGATAATAAAACAGGCTGAGGAACTTTGATGACATGAGATCTGTCCCTACCTCATTTTATTTTGGTAGCTGTTCACGGACTGAATTCTGTTACACACGGGTACTTCATTAATTCCCAGAGAGGCTCATGATATCAAAGCAAGGCCCACAGTAAGCTGCTTTCCAGCACACTTTCCCACCCTGGCGTTAGCACTCACAGTGAGCTAGCAGCACATCCGCCCCCACTGCGCACATGAAAGGCCATCAGGCTTCAGCGAGCAGGTTTATTATCATGCATTAACCTCAACTTCAACTTCTTCCTCTGGCAGAAGGGCAATTAAGTTTTAACACTCTGTTCAACGCAAGTTCTTAGGAAGGCCAAAATTGTTAATCTCTCCAAAATATGGTAAATCTTTTCCAAAGACTGCTGCACTTGAATCAATAACCTCAAGAAGTTTTTATCCGCTTCTTAAATGAGGTTGAGTTTCACAGTGAATACTTGAGCTGAATTCCCAGGGAAGGTGCGCACTGTCACCAAGGAGAAAAAGCCAAACCAAGATTACTTCTTCTTAACCTAAGTGCTGTGACATGGTCGTTGCACTTCCTGTATCAGTAAGGTAGAGTTGAAGTTCTGAAGTAAGGATTGCAAACGCTGTTTTTTTCCCCCTCAAAAACATTGCTTTATTTTTTTTCTTCTCTTAATTCTGCAGATGATGCATACTTACTACAGGGGCTTAACATTGAGGAGCTTTACCCAGAGACCTCTAGTTTCATTACATATGATGGGTCAATGACAATTCCACCCTGCTACGAAACAGCAAGCTGGATAATAATGAACAAACCCGTCTACATAACAAGAATGCAGGTAATAATAATAATAAATATACAAATACTTGATCTAGTCTAGGTACAAGAGTAGAATATTTGAAATACGTTGCTAGTTTTACATACAAAACTAGATTCAATGTTTTGCTGCATGGATCTCTTGCAATTGCTACAGCTTACAAAAGCAATGAAGAGCATTTTTTCAAAATCTATTTATTTATTTAGAACTACCAAAATAGTTGCACATTCACACACTCTGAGATGGGCTCCGCTCACCGTGAGAGTTTGAACCAAATGATCCAAAGGTCTCTCCTGGTAAGATACTTCACGATTCTGTGAATAAATGCATACGGATTCTAAACAACTACAGTAAAGTTGTATAAAAATAACTGATGTTAGGAAGTTTAACCTCTACTTCAGTTTCCTACTCAAAGTTTGAAAGGTTTTTGTTGACTTGAATTAATGAATATTCTTGTAGCACAGTAACTACAAGAACCATTGCCGTCTGACTGCAGAAGAAACAGTTTGATCTCAAGTTGGCTCTTTCAACCCACCTTTCGCTTACAAATCACTGAAACTGTTTAACTTTGATTTCCCAAGTAGTATATTTAATGGTGTTGTATGTTCTTTAATTACAGGAAAGACCAAAACTAAAAATCCTTGTTTCGTATTTTGTACAGATGCATTCCTTACGACTGCTAAGCCAGAATCAGCCATCACAGATTTTTCTGAGCATGAGCGACAATTTCAGACCAGTCCAGCCCCTCAACAATCGATGTATCCGAACTAATATCAACTTTAGTTTACAGGGAAAAGATTGTCCAAACAATAGAGCACAGAAACTACAGTATAGAGGTACGTTCTACCTACAGAACAACCCTTGCTTTACTTACACTGAGCTCCTTTCTCTGGGAAATTCAAGCGCATAAGAAAGTCTACAAATAAACACAAATGAAACAGCAGATCTGGGGGAATAGTGGTATGAGTCCAAGATTGCATATTTGACTGGAAGAGGAAATTTGCCCAGAAACATCCATGAAAAGCCATGATAAAAGTCATTGTGGGACATCTGATATTTTTCATAAGCAGATGGCACAGGCCTTCAGCTTTCTAGCCTCATTTTAAAGTCTTACAAAGATATTTTATTCTGCTGGAAAGAAAAAAGGGGATGAGCTAGTCCTGATGACAGCTGATCTCAAACAAAAGAATAAATTTCACTTTGGAGGTGCACTGCCATAACTAATATCCAAATGGGAAAGTTTTTTTATTATGGAATGAACACCAAACAAATGAACCAACTCAGTCTTATGCTGGTAACATCTTACACTGCCACAGCTTGGGGCTCACTTCTGAGCTGGATTGCATCTTGCCCACCTTCTAGTCACATACAGTTATACCACTTACAAGACAGTGTCAAAGTTCCTTCTTGACTAAATATTATGGTTATGCTGAAGGGTGGATAAGAACACATTCAACAGCAAGGTCAATGATTGAGTTACAATACTGCTAAAAAAATAATCATGCAGACGCAGTACTTTCCCAAGAAAAGGAGAAAACTGAGCCTGGCTTTTCCAGGATGCTATAGGTGTTAAAAGATGTTTTAAGTTCATCCAATTTCATTTCTGAGGTTTATTAAAGCATAATTGTTTTTGTTTTGTTTCTTTTTCAGTAAATGAATGGCTCCTCAAGTAAGACAGAGCAGGCAGAACCCATAACCTCAGTGGAATGCTACTACTGTGATTGACATAATCTAGAATGCACCCAAACTCACTCTTTCTTTGGGTTCGTGACAGCATGGGCAAGCATGCTGTAGGAATAAAGCTGCCATGTTGGAAACTCAACTTAAAATTCATTCATATGATTGGTGGTAATTAAAAAAAATAAAAAGACAGTATTACAGTAAATGTGATTACAATTTTGATACAGTTTTCCTGAACTAATTTAGCATCACAGAAAAAAAAAAAAAAAAGGAAAAAAGAATTTTCAGCCTTTGTATATATGAAATTCTTCCTCTTTCCCCCCCCCCCTCCGTCAAACTTAAAGAAAAAAGAGAAAAAAGGTGGCTTGGTGCAGCATCAAAGTGGAGTTGTGTTCTGTGTGCCAAGTAATCCTTGGAAAGCTCTCATTATTTCACTATCATTTATGGATACTGACAAGACAGAACAAGAAGATTGTAGAGCAAACTTATTTCTAGATTATGATCCTTCTGTTCATTTAATTAAAAAAGGGACAGACAGAGATAAGTATTGTAAATAGATCACTGCAGAATACAAAGGAAATTTAAATATTTCCCTCTGTCACATATCTGTAGTAGGATTTGCCAAAATCAGAATTGATCCATTTTCTGTTTCTTGTTTTACAACAGGTCATACGTTGTGTTGGTTACTAATAACAACTCAATAAATGTGTTTAACAAATTAATTTAGTAAACTTGCTTTGGTTTACTTTTTTCCTTTCTGAAATAACAAGCCTCTAAGTATTTGTGGCTGCACTGTTTGTGTTTCTGTTGACTTTCTCTTTTTTTTTTTTTTAATTTCATTTATTTGCAGCCAATTTAAGCCAGATAATGGCAATTGTGAATGCAGTTAAATCCAGTATAACTTCAACTCTGGTCAATCATTAACAGAAGGCTGGGTTCAGAAACAGATCGCAGTTGAAACATCTCCGTTTCAAATTGTCATTTCCCCTGTTCAATTCATTATAGTGACAAACAAATTTAAATTGGTGGTGGAAGCAGATATTTTTCTTTACAGATAAAGCAGGAGCTGACCAAGTAAAAGGGAATGCCTTTTTTCTTGTTTATAATGGTCATTCACTGTGTTTGGTTACTGTCAAGAACTAAATAAATGTGTTTAACAAGTTCACATGCTGCATGTTTGGCCTTCTTGCACATTGAGAAGTTTTGAATTGTTTCTTTCTCTGGAGAGTGTGCAGACTGCTAGGAGCTACCCAGCTCCTAATGCTTACTTTGTCATGCATGACAACGTGTAGAAGTTAGCAGAAAAGATTACGAAACTAGAAAGGACCATACAGGAACTGTGAATCATTCATACCAAATAGAAAAATACACACTACAAGAAGTTTGAGAAGATGAAACACAGTAAAAAATGTAGAGACCCAATTCACACTGGAGACCAACGACCTGTAACATGACATAGCATTTCATCTTTGGCCAAAGCAAACAGCATGGACAGCATCAGACTGGAAACTCAGGAGACTGTTGATGAGAGCTGGGAAGGACTAAAGAGCTAAAAGCTGTGATGTCATCAGTGGCACAAAAGGAAAAGGTATCAAGAGGGCACCGTTCAGTTGTTCAGTGAAAGATGCAGAGGAATCACCAGGTGGGAAGTAGCACACTGATGTCAAACATGCAGAAGGGTTTTGGGCTTACGACCTTGGTCCACGATCCTGCTAACACAGATGTAGCACCTGCTCCCTAACTTACTTCTGTCTGAGCAGCTCAAATTAATTACATATACTAGCTTAACAGTGCGTAGTGATCTGAGAAGTTCACTAAACCACCACAGAAATGCTAAAACTACCTATTGCAATGCAGACTAGCTTTGTTGAATTCTGCAGCTGAAATAAAGCATAATTACTACCTTCAATTTACCTAGCTAATGGAGAAGAATACCATGAACTACATACAATATCTTTAAAATGCCTTTTAAACTTGTGGTATTGGGATTGTTTCCATGACTTGTTTGACTGGTTGTGGGTTTTGTTTGGTTGCTTTTGTAGGCTCTATTGTTGTTGTTTTATTTTATTAAGCTTCTCCTGAAATCGTTAAGGTTACACAGAGAAGTTACAGAGAGCATAAAGTCCACAATGGCTCAAACTATATTTCTGGACCAGTAGCTGACAATTGTTGATCCAACTATGTCAGTGACAGAAGGTAGGGAAGATAAGCAAGGCCACCATTATAAAACTTTCAGTAATAAAACCTACATGCTATTTTAGTAAAAGCTGGTTGAAGGGATTTAAGAAGAGAGAGATATGATGGAAGAGACTAGTCCTAAAGAAGGAGTCATGCTGTGCTTTGGATTAGGTGAGGCTGCAGTATAGAAACCCTGCAAATAGAGAAACATGACAATCGTGCTGGGACATTGCAAACACATTTGTCAACGTTCCCAAGTCCATTTTGTGAACTAATGAACTCCAGCTTGCCATGATTCGTTTGGGTGTTTGTTTTATTGCAGTAAAAATAGACCAAACCAAAGTTTAGAATTAAATATCTTGCACGCACCTCAGATTTAAGTAGCACTTGTATCTAAACATGCAGTTTTCAGTTTTTCAAATCAAACACTTGCCTCCATATGAAGACAGTGAGCATCCAAAGAAAGCCACACAAAGCTCTTTACAAAGATTTTAATCAAAAAAGTGAAGAATCTGTATCAAACAACTGGCACAAACCATGTTCTGGTATCCAGAATCTGTGCAGCACAGCAACAGATTCAAGCTTCTGACTTGAGTGTTTTCTACCCATGCTGCCCATGAAAAGCCCAGCTATACATGAAGCCAGTGCACAGCTTTGTGGCATGAGCTGGATTTGTGCTGTCATGGCTTCAGTACTAGCAGTGTCTGAGCCACCCAGATTACAAACAAGATTCTTCACTTGTGATAAGGCTCAAAACACACATGTGCTATCTGGTAAGGAATAAAAACCTGGCAGCCATCCTTGAAAGAAAATCACCAGCACAGGCAGGACCGTGTTGCCATGCCATGATGGTGACAGGCGTTAAGAAACACAACCCTGAGAGGGACTTGTCAAAGTTGATCTACCACAGTTACGGATGTAATATCAAGCCAGGCACCAAACTTGAAAAGCTCACTTGACAATTATGAAAAAGAGAACAACATTGACAACTGTTGCTCACATGGCATCAGCTCGTTGGGCAGCTCAGATTCCATGCCCCTGGTGGAGGTGGGCTACCAGCAGCCATCATTTTCAGTACTTTGCGTCCAACAGTGTTTCAAAATATAGGATTTCTCAAAACTCTTGATCCTAATTGAAACAATACAGAAGAACTTAGATAGTGGAGCTCATACTTCAGAGTTCTTCCTGCTTCCGACACAACCTGCTGTTAGTTTCCCTGTTTTGGTTTTCCAGGGGTTTTATATATCCTGCTATTTCCCATGTGTGCCTTAAAATTACCTTGCTGAGGATAAGCTAAGAAACAGACCTTATTTCACCCGAGAAGCCAAGATCAGAAGCAAATAGAATGGTTCCAATATTTAAGATCTCACATACAGCAGGTGCTTCCAGGATCCAAACTTCCCTAAAAGTCAAGAATTGGAAGGCAAACTGTCTTTTATTCTAAGTATATTCTATTATTATATGTGTTATTTATACACCAAATACTGAAGATGCAGCAAAGAGGCAGATATTTTGCATGTTCTCTATTACAGCTCACAGCTTAAAGTCCTGGATGCCATCCAAAAAAAGCCCAGATGTTTTTCCTATAATCAAAACAGTGCATCTTCTTCAAGGAGATCAGCCATAACTTTTCCATGGTTTAATTTATTTTTCTATTAGACTTTAATACCTGGATGCAATGGCTGACAAAGCATAGAGACTCTGCTGTAAGAAAGGCTGATTTACTACTAAATGGTTTGCCACAGTTCTCAGCAGCGTACTGTGAAATTATTCAGGGGTCTGTTTGCATGGTGAAAAGCAAGAACCACCTATGATTTGAAACTTGATGCAGGCAAACATTTTCTGTTTCCTGCAGTGTCAGGCTTCTACTCCGGTAACTAAAATTCATTTAAGTTAGCCAATAGAGAACAACAGGAAAACAGATCTTGTATGGGGAAATAACCCTTAGCATTTAAATAGAACAAAAAGTCCTTAAAGGAACTACGGGGGGAAACGACAGCCTGAGTTCAGGTAGATACTCCTTCCTCAAGGGAAGGAAGAGCTGGAGTTAAAAGTAAACCTGAGCCAAAGATTCTGCTGCAAGATGCCATCGAGACCCCAAATTAACAATACAAACTTCAGCCTTGTGTCACTATTTCCATGCAGATGCCACTGACACCCTGAAAAAAAAAAATCTCATTTTTTGAGACTATTTGCACGCAGAGCACATGTTCAGACATCACACACACATCATGTATGCGCTTGATCAAGGAAAAGCAATGCTGAGTCACATCCACAACACCCCTTCTGATTCCTCTGCTCCTTCCTGGACGTGCCCCCGCAGTGCTGTAGCAGGTGATTTTGTCTAGCACTCTGCCAAGATATCAGAGGCCGCCAGAAATACCTCATGCTGTGCCTTCCTTACTCTCCTGCTGCACACATATGCTTCGGTTGAGACTTTCTGGAACACAATCTATGTTCAAAGGGCAAAGCAGTCCTCACTCTTCTGTTCTACTGGTGGTAATATTAGCTGCAGAAAAGAGATCAGGCAAAAATAATGAAGGGTGACTTAATTATGAGCCACTGAAAATATAAGTGTTGAACTTTGACCTGCCTGCACTGAGGCTGTGTCTTTCAAGGGCACAAAAAATGGATTGCTGACACTACCTGCAAATTGCTTCCAAATGCAAGGAGGTTCCAAATTCTTTAAGATGATTCAAGGTTTACTCCAGATGGTTCTGTTCTATCTTAACAGTGTCTCCCTGTGGGGGCTGGGGTGAAGTGAGGCCCGTGAGACCACCACCCAAGAAATTCAGCTGTCTTTGAGGCAAAATTAAAGCTCTGTTTAAGAAGCCTTATTCAGCTAAGCCTAAGGGTCCTCAGGCAGCAGTCACACATCTTATGAAGTAAAGAAAAATCCCTTAAGCTAAAATCTTTTGGTATACTGAACTATGCAACAGCAGAAAAAAAAAGAG